AGGGCCAAGGCCCTGTTTACTGGCTGGCTGCCACCTCTTGGGGCGGTGAGCATTCCCTGTGGTCACATGACCCCTCCATCCTTTCTATAGATGGAACAATATTGCCTTAGTCAGCTTCAAGCTGATGGCCTTTTAGTTTGATTCTAGCCCTTCACTGTCACAAACGGTGCTGTGTGCACACCTCTTCGTGCAGGTGTGTGAGGATGAATTCCTATTAATAAAAAAAGAATTGCTGGAATGAAGTATATATATGCCTTTGTTGTTGTGAGGACAGTTGTCATCCTGTGGAAGTTAACCATTTGCTTTCCCACCAGCAGTGTAGCATGCCTGTTTCCTCACACTTTTGCCAACACAGAATTATTTGATTAAAAAAATTTTTTGCTGATAGTAGTACCTCATTGTAGTTTCAATTTGTATTTCTCACTGTAAAAGAGGTTAAGCATCTTTTCATGTTTTAAGAACTATCTGCATGTTCTTTCTCATTTTTTCTATTCGGTCACTAATGTGATATATCATAATTTGAGGTCAGTTGTAAACATGGGCTCTGCTTACCTTTTACCCTCCATATCTAGACCCTCCTCAAGTTCCTCCTGGCTTGGAAACAAGCTCACCAGACAGACCATTCCTGTGGCACTGCTCCTGTTGATATAAATCAGATGGGCAAATTCACTTTTGTTAGGGGCCTGAGACCCCAAATGTTTAAAGATAGCTTTGCTGGTAAATAAAAAGAAAGCCCAGAGAAGAAGGGAGGGTCTGGTGGGGCAGGTGTGCCGGTGTCCTGCGGGAGCAGGTGGTGTGGGAAGCTGCAGGACGGTGTGCTGTGATCGCTGCTCCAGCCGCAGCAGCGCCTCTGAGAAGAGGAATACCAGTTTCTGCCAAGGATATATGGAAAGTTTTCTTTTCCCCATATGTTCTTGGCAGCCTTGTTAAAATCATTTAAAACAGTGAATCTGATCGGAAAGCCAGCCACTAAGAGACTCCAGTATAGCAAAACAAATTGTCTAAAGTATTTGCCATTCCTAAGAAATAAACTGGGATTTAGGCTTGGACAGAATCCAGAGGTTTGTTTTGACCTAGTTAATTACAACATATTAAGAAGAGGGGATTTTTACAGGAATTTTTTTTCAGTTTTACATTCTTTTTCATAACTGGAATGTCTGTCATTTGACAACCAACAACTTAAGGAAGAGAGAACTTAAGCTTTCTTAACACATTTGAATTTTCTCATTATGAGCATTTATTCCTTTTTTCAATAACTCTCAAGTCCTGTGTGATCTGATCCTATGGAGAGGAGATGTAGGTGTTCTCCAGAGTTTTGTGCGGCATAGACCTCTAAGGCGAGTACGGCCCTCAGTCCCTGCATGCCACCCTGCCTGTTGCTCTCAGGACGAACAGAAGAGCTCATCCTGTCCTAGCTAGTGAGGTCCCTCGCTGCAGAGCTTCTAAGAGGAGATTGCTGGCCTTTGACTATGTTGACTTCTGGAGTCTGACGGTGGAGCCATACTTGAAGCTGTAGACTTTGTTTTGTTGTTGACTAGGTCAGTCTTTTAGATCCTTGATGGTTGATTGATAGATTCTATGCAGCTTAATACCAGCAACAAATAAAGCTTTTTAAAGTTGGTTTGGTGATCCTTCTACATATGGATTGGTCCTGAACTTTAGTACATGTGCTCATCTTTAGCTGGTGACAGCAGTAGCCTCTTATGAGAGCTGTGATGGCTCCACAAATCTTGCTGGGTTTTTTGCTTTTATTGAAGGAGTCAGCATTTGTTGAAGCTGAAGTTTATGTAAAATAACAGTAAGTAGATTATTTAAATTTCCTGGAAATTTTATGATCTGATAAGAGAGACTCTTACTCTTTCTCAGGAGGCTTTTTAAGGCTTGGACATTACCTGCTGAGTGCCTTATAGTGTTGTCATGAGATTGGAGAGAGTGAAATGAGGGCAGGAACATAGGTGGAGGATGCTGAGGTTGTTCCTATTTCCTGAGTAAAAATTGAACAGCTGCAGAATCTCCCCAGCCCTGCCATGATGCCTTTTCTCGTTGGGACTGCTGCCACTGTCTTGCCAGCCTTATGTCTGCCATGGTGCAGACACACCTGTGTGAGTGCCTTGTGATACACCTGAGGTGGGGAAATGCATGGGGAAGTGAACACAGGTCCCGTGGTGTGTGTGGACAGCGTGGCCACTTCCTCAGTGCAGGCTCTGTTCTGCCGTGAGGCTCTCCCCGCTGCTGCCATGCCCTGCCCCCATCACAGGCGTGCAAGGCTGTGACCATTACCCCAGGGTACCCTCTTGATGTGAATTACTTAAAGTTCAGAACTAGAGTGAGAGGCCATTTTCTCTCGACTTCAGTTTCCTGTCAGATCTGCCTTCTCCCAGGACACTGACCCTGATTGGGTGCCATTCACCAGATGAGACCCCATCCTCCTCCCGCAGGGCTTGTCTTCCCTTCAGAACACGGGAAAGTATGGTGGTTCCAAGAGGATCATGCTGTTACTGAGTTAACAAGGAGGAAGATAACTAGATACTTCCCTCTGTCTGCCATCCTTCCTGGGGAGGAGGCTTCCTTTATGACCCAGCAACACAGAGGAAGAAGTGACCTCATAGCAATGAGGGGACAAGGATGTGAATATAGCTAGACACTCCTTCCTCCAAGTCTATGGTGGTTGGTGGTGGTGACACCTCTCACTTCTCTGAAGTACACAAGGCCAGCTTGTGGCCTTCATGATAGATTTCCTGCCTTGCCTATAGATGCTGAACAGAGCTGGTCACCCTCAGAAGTAAAAGAAGGGAGCAAGAAGTTCATGAAGGCTTCCAGTCCAGAGCAATGTTAGGACTAAAAGTCAGAGGACAGGCTAATTGTAGAAGTTTGGAGACCTTAGTATAGTATCCTCACCTGCTTCCCTGTAGTGTTAATAGTAAAGCCCCTGATACCAGAAGGCCTTGTGTGCTCGTCTCGGGGGAAGAGGAGCCCCCAAGGGGTTGATTCTGTGATGGTTGCCTTGAGAGGGGGATGCTGGGGAAAGAGAAGGATGGCTCATGCACTCGGGTCTAGAGGATGCAAGGGATGTAACCACAGTGTCCACATGGCTCCCAAGATGCACCTCATCTTGTTTTAGGAAGAATCTTGACAAAGTAGCAGTGGGGATTATTTTGGGGATGTCAGATAAACTTTAGATTCTTAAGAATTTTGACCATTAATGCTTTTAAAGAAAATATACTCAATGTCCATATGCACATTCAAATAAAAACTAAATGTGGATTCCTTAGTGACTCACGTGATGTGCTAATAGAGTAATACTGTGTGATCTCAGCATCACATGCAGCATGCTTACAAGTAACTTCTTGGATCATGTTTCTTTAGGTTGAATTGGATTTAAAATGATGTTTAATCTCTGTTCTGGGGAGTAGGAATAGGAGTCCAGTGAAAACTTTAATCAGAGTGCCTGTACTGGCCCTCTCCAAGCTGCCAAATTTACTGTGTTTGTGTGTGTGTGTGTGTTGGGGGGAGGGTAGGAGTTTCTTGGCCATGGCCATACCTGTTCTTGTGGCTGACCAGTGTCAAGGATCCCATAGTGGCATGCCAGAATGACAGTGAACTCCAGCTGGTAGCACTTAAGAGTGGGGGCTCACCCTCAACTGGGGAATTGTAAGCTAGGGTGGAGCTCCCTCACTTTGAGGAGTTAGGACAAGGAACATTCAAGTGGGCCTGGTAAAAGGAAGTGGTGATTTGGGCTTACTTGTGATGTAGACTGATGGCACTATTTCTCTGGAGCTGTGGGTTGCATGAAGCAGATGCTCCCTCAGGCTCACTGTCCCAGGGAGAGAAGAGTGTGTTTATGGGCTTATGCATTGGTCTGTGAGGGCCATGGGAACGCTGGCGTGGGAGCCCTCTAGTGGTGCTTGTGCATCTTCAGCTCAGCTTCTGTCCCTGTCCCTACTCCCCTGTGTCTGCTTTCTCCCCACTGTGGTGCCTCCTCTCCCTCCCAGATCTTTTCTCTAATTTTGATTGTTCACCACCTGAGAGGTCCTATTCTATCCCATGGACCTCTTGTTGCACCTTCTTTCAAATTTAAATTTTATTTCCTCTCTCTCTCTTTTTTTTGAGACAGAGTCTCACTCTGTGACCCTGAGTAGAGTGCGGTGGCATCATCATAGCTCACTGCAACCTCAAGATCCTGGGCTCAGGAGATCCTCTTGCCTCAGCCTCCTGAGTAGTTGGGACTATAGGAGCTCACCACCATGCCTGGCTAATGTTTCTATTTTTCTTAGAGATGGGGTCTCATTCTTGCTCGGGCTGGTCTCAAACTCCTGACCAATCCTACCTTGGCCTCCCACAGTGCTAGGATTACAGGTGTGAGCCACCACACCTAGCCAAATTTAAATTTTCTTGATGACTTTTCTTAATTCTCAATTCCAAGTTTAGACCATTTGGGAACACTTTGTGCTCATTCTTCTCCCAGGCCCTAATTGAGCTATGACTGGTGGCCCTGTGGTCAGGTGGGCTCCCTTTTGTATAAGGAGCCATGGCAAGGCAGTGAGGTTTCACAGACCAGAGCCTGGTCACCATGCATGAATAGGAGAGAGCTATCAAATCTGCTGGCCTGGCTCAGGGTCCTTTCAGGAACTAGGTGAGTGTGCTGGGGCTGGGGAGGTAAGTGTGGCAGCATGATGCTTCACACTTCTTTTGCATTTGTATAGTGCCTTTTAGTACTTGATTTCTTGACTTATGTATGAACTAATTAAATTTAGATGCTCAGGAAACAAAGACCACTGAACCTACGAGAGGTCAGTAGTGGTGTTCCATAGTCTGAGACATTTCTTGGCTACACTTTTATCCACAGATAAGAAAAAAGAGTGCTCTTTAATTTGTTTTGCCTAGATTTGTAGGGACCTAGTATATGTTGCTCATTGAGCAGTGTTGCCATTCAGAAGGAGACAGTGCACGTGCTCCCCTTAGCTCATTCCTGAACACTGACCAGAGATGTGTCATTACAGGCTGGGAGTCCTCCATCAGCGTCAGCTCCGGCTCCGGTGTCTGCCTTCTCTCGCACTTCTGTCACACCATCCACCCAGGACATCTGCAGGTAACACTCTGCTTCAGTGCTGTGATGATCAGTGTGCATCCCAGAAGTAAGCATTCGTGTCTGTAGGTTCTCAGATTTCCAATTGCTTGATCAGTCAACCTTTGGTCTAGACAGCTGGCCCAGTTTTATGTGCTGTTTGCTCACGAGTTACCCATATGGGTTTCATTTCTTCACTTTGATGTCTATTCTCTTTTAAAATTGTTTTTACTTTCTGTGCTTTTGTTCCACTGTTCTGCATGCAGTTCCAGTGCAGTGTTTTCTGAGTGTTGTCACCACAGTCCCGTGCAGTCTGCTGTTGTCTTGAAAACTCCTCAATGCCAGAGTTCTCTGACACAAGGGCTCACTGTGACAGTTATCTGTAAAGATACAGTACAGGCATCAAAGAGAAATTCCTTTGGTTCAGAATGGGTCCAGGCCTTGAAGCCTGGTAAGAATACCAAAGCCAGAAGAACACTAAAGTTCTCAAAGTCCCTAAATGATGTGGGTGAGAAGGCCCAAGATACTTTGGAAAGTTTTGACTATGTGGAAAGAACTTGTTCTGAAGGAAAGTTAATACTCCCTCAAGATCCACGTCTCAGAATTAACAGGTTCCATCATAAAGAAAAAAGAACGCTGATCTGCAGACCTCTTGGCGGTTCCAAACATTCTTGTGTTTCATCTCTTTCTGCCACCTGTTCAACTGCCTCAGAAGTGGGAGCTGGCAAGGGAGGTGTGCACATCCCGCCCTTGGACCAGAAAGGAGATGGCGAGGCCGCGTCCAGAAGCCGGCGGCTGCTCCGGTACCTGCTCTCTCTCTCGCGTGGCTCGAGCACCAGCAGCCTGCACAGGTTCCACGAGCTGGAGAGCTGTGCCGCTCACCTGCATGCCGCTAAGTCCTCCAGTGGGCTGGCCGGGAGCACCGGCTTCTGCTCCGACGAAATGGGAGACGACGACGTCTTTGAGGACAGCACGTCCACAAAACTGAAAAGCAGGGTTCTGCGGGCGCCCCTCTGCTCCACAGAAAAGGACAGCGACCTGGATTGTCCTTCTCCCCTCTCTGAGAAATGTCCCCCCATGTCCCCTGTGTCCACATCAGGGGATGCCTGCAGGTTGGTTTGCCAGGAAGCGCTGCTCTGGCCGTCTCTGCTCACACCCATAGCCTCCCCTTGCTTTAATATGTGAAGTTTCAGGAAAATGAAGTAAGAGGCAGTTGTAGCCAATTGTGGGTTAATAGCTTTCTCCAGAAGAATGGAGTATTGGTATCATTTGGAAAACTAATTTTTATGATGTGGGTCCCAAGATATTTTCACAGATGATACAAGAGGAAGAAGCTCCACATATTAAAGGCAAAGCTGACTCTTCTCAACTAAAAATAAGTAGATTTTATGTAAAGAAATTTGAAGAAGAAATAGTATCTCCAGCTTGATGGTCCAGATTTTAAGTGTTTGCTGCCCCTCCCAGCCTTTTTTTAAGCCTTTGCTCCCTGCATGTGTGTGGGGAGTGGTGGTTCTGCAGTAGCTCCTCCCTCCCTCCAGCTATGCCCAGGTCCTAACTCCACTTCCCACCTTTATCTGCCTTGTGCAGCATCCTTGTCTGGCTTCTAGGATTCAGGATTCTTCTAGGATTCTTTTGTCACACTCTTGTGCCTTCTCCATTCTGACCTTTCCCTAGTCTCCCCTTCTCATGCCAGCTGTCATCATGGATCAGAAACCCTTCTCACTAAGGCAGCCTGAGAGCCCAGTTCTTTTCAGGAAAGGTCCCTCCATGCTCTCAGCTGCTGGGAAAAGACCCTCTTTCTCAAAAGCTTGTTAAAGTTCCTTGAAGTTAGTAGTTACGTCCTGCTGCATGCCTCCTTGGAAATAAGGAATGCTTTTAAATTAACTCTCACTAAAAACTGCTACGAGTAGTCCTGAAAAAGGAAGTGAAATGGTGAATGTTTTAGGTCCAGGAGAGGCACTGTGATCTTTGGTAACTCCCAGAAAGAGGACAGAAATGTACGGTTGTGGTGTGTAAAGGCGAGGTCAGTGTCCATAGCTAAGGAGCAATGTCATCACCTTTTAAGTCACTGTGGCATTTTTGGAAGGTGGAATGCCGGGTTTGTTTTACATAGAAATTTTTCATCTAATTATTTTAACATCTTACATTGTAGAAAATGATTTCAGGTTGCCTTAAATTCGTCTTTCAGTTGAAGTTCTTAAGTCTTACCAAAAAAACGACTGCTTTGTCATTTCTTGTATCATTTTTTCCTCTGTTGCCAAATGCCATCCAGATTTTCCATGTTGGCGCGGTAAGCTAGAAACTTTTAGTCTGTAGTCACTGTTTTCATTTGTGTTTGTATGTTTTGTGCTCATAGTCACTTGAGTGGTGTCTGTTTCTGGAAATTTTCCAGGGTGGGTGGGGATTGACTTTCCACTGAAGCGTCACCTTCCTTGTTGTGGGGCCCCTCACAGTGACTGCTTTCCTTCGGTATAGGATCTGTCACTGTGAGGGAGATGACGACAGCCCTCTGATCACGCCCTGCCGCTGCACGGGAAGCCTCCACTTTGTGCACCAGGCCTGCCTGCAGCAGTGGATCAAGAGCTCTGACACTCGCTGCTGCGAGCTCTGCAAGTACGAGTTCATCATGGAGACCAAACTGAAGCCTTTGAGAAAAGTACGTGTGAGGAAGAGATGTTCCCGGCATTGCTTTACCCTCTGTAAAACAAGTGACCCTGAAAGAGTTAGCACCTCAGACTGTGCAGCCGTAGCTTGCCTCCTGTGTTCGTTTATCTGAGAAGCTGGGGCTGGTGTCGCATTCACGTTGCAGCGACTGTTGTTTCTGATACTGATTTCCAAGTCCCTCCCTTCAGGAAGAAGCTCTTTCTGACCATTCCTAATGTTTCCTTTTCCTTCAAACTAATCCTGCTTGTTTGTCTGTGTCAGTCATCTGGCCCTTGACCACAGAGTGTTTTGAGACATATCTTAGTTAGCATTTAACCTTATATGCATTAACTGTTCATGTCTTGCCTCTCTGCAGAATTAGGACTGTATGTTAGAGGTTAATATCTTTCCCCAGCACTCAGCACAGCATAGCACACCGTAAATTTACGTGTGTACACCTGTGACAAGCATTTGCTGGATAGGAGAGTGGTTGGGTGGATGGGGAAAAGAAAGGAACCACAGACATTATATGACATGCATCTGTCTTCAGGCCCCATGTCATTGTTCCCTCTGAAAGGAGCTTTGTCAATGACACTGGCCTCCTGTTTAAATGTTCACTGTTTTCATATATCTCGCTAGATCCCCGCACAGAAGGTTTTGTTTGGAAGAATAAGAGACTATTCCTATCTCAAAACGTTAATATGTAAATGTCAGGGGTGTATCACATAATCAAATAACAGTACATGACAATGCCAATTAAATGTGAAATTATGTGGTGGTGGAGCATATCAGACATTCAGAGAAGAAAGTGCCCCTTATTGGCTAGAGTGCTGGGGAAGTTGCATGCTGGTAGCATCATAGAATGTTTGGGTTTTAGAGCAGTTCTTGGAAGATGAATAGCATTTTGGAAGCAAAGTGAAAGAAGTTTAGAGAGATCAAATTTTCTGTGGAGAAAAGCATACACCAAAAAGGTGAGGGTGAGTGTTCAAGGGCTGTGCAAGGGTTGAGCTACATGTGTCTTAGGAAATAGTGGGGATCAGGGATCAGGAACACCAAGGCATTGACTCTGTGTTTAGATAGAAGCCCAGGGAACTTGCTAGTGTATAAAACCCCAGCAGAGAGCAGTCACATGCTAGAGAAAGCAGGCACAAGCTGTATACAAAATGTTCTGCCCTAGTAAAAGCCTTATAATTTATTCAGTATCTATTCTATACTAATCTTCAAGTGAGTCTTATGATAATACAGATAGTCCACCGGCTCTAGTTTCAACTTATCCTGCATAGATTCATCTGGAAAGAGGCTATGACTAGGGTTGGCAAAGGATATGCAGAGTGTTTACACTTTGTTCTTTCTCTCTATCTTTATGTGTTTTCTTCTGATTCGGAAACCAGTAAATGAAAATGAAAATCTGGCTATTTGGAGTAAATTAATGAGCTCCTAGAGGAGATGGGACTGGCAGAGTCTGCTTGTACCAGGAACTCTTAGCATCGATTTCGAGCTGTTGCTGCCAAAGTAGCAGAGGACCAAAGAGTGAGCGCCTCCTGCCATTCACCTTCACAATGTAGTGTGACCATCTGCTGGTGTTTTGTGGCATCATCAACCCTCTTTTTCCCTGCTTGTCCATGCCAGTCAGCAAGTCAGGGAGACTTAAAACGTAGCACCCGAGTCTCAGGCCAACATGTTGTCTTCAACACGACTAAGATCATAGAATCCTCTGTCCGGCCATTTAATGTCTGCTTGCAAGAATGAGCAGACAAGGGCATTGCCACTGGTAGTTCAGCACTCATCTTGATCTTAGCTTGTTTTCATTGCATAGAAAGTTGGCTGTGCCTGGTACCTGGTTTGAAGCCAAGTGGTTTAAAGAGAACTACTTTGTGTATTTGGGGAAATTCATCTAGCTTGGGAAACGGGAAGGGGATTGGAAAGCCAGTCTTGCCCATCTACAGTGTTCTCACCCCACTGTAGCCCTTCACCTTGAGCCCGTGCCTCATGCCTTGCTTGTTATCTTTCCAGTGGGAGAAGCTGCAGATGACAGCCAACGAGCGCAGGAAGATCATGTGCTCAGTGACGTTCCATGTCATCGCCATCACCTGTGTGGTCTGGTCCTTGTATGTGCTCATCGACCGCACCGCTGAGGAGATCAAGCAGGGGCAGGTAACAGGTGAGTGCTCAGGCTGACAGGTGAGCTCAGCACAGAGGTCCTGAATGGCACACTGGGTCTCAGGATTGGAGCATTGTTCCAGTCAGACCACAAACGTCTGGGTTTCTGGACAGGGAACGTAAATTAGCAGGCACCACATGTCCTTTTTGGATGTTTCTCTTGATGTGGTGGTAGGTTTTGAAACCCCATCAGAAGGGATCAAATCATGGACTGTGAGAATGTCCACAAACTACCTCCTGGAAAAGCAGGTTAAAAGGTAGTGAACACTCTCTTCTCTCTCTCCTTTGACAAGCATGGTTTGGCCAGTTGAGAATCTAGTGGTGGGCGTGTGTCTCTAGACCCTCCTGAGGCAGGAGGATCACTTGAGCCCAGGAATGCAAGGCTGCAGTGAGCTGTGATGGCATCCTTGAGCCGTTACCTCGCCTCAGCCTGGGCAGCATAGCAAGACCTCATCTCTAAACAAACAAAACTAAGAATCTATTGGTTATGGGAAGTTCAGAAGTAGTGGTTTATGTACTTTGTATCTTAAATAAGATCTACTAATAGGCTGAGTTTTTTTCCTTTCAGGAATCCTAGAGTGGCCCTTTTGGACTAAATTGGTGGTTGTGGCCATTGGCTTCACTGGAGGACTTCTTTTTATGTATGTTCAGTGCAAAGTATATGTGCAATTATGGAAGAGACTCAAGGCTTATAACAGAGTGATCTATGTTCAGAATTGTCCAGAAACAAGCAAAAAGAATATTTTTGAAAAATCTGCACTAACGGAGCCCAACTTTGAAAATAAAGATGGACGTGGAGTCTGTCATTCCGACACAAACTCTTGTTGCACAGAGCCTGAAGACACTGGAGCAGAAATCATTCACGTTTGATTGTGTGGAGGGTGTAGTTTTCCTGGACATCTGTGAAGAGCTGAAGGAAATTGTTTACTGCCAATCGTGTACCTTTCTTATATCCTTTAATAGTATAGACTGGGCAGGTAACTATTGTTAGTGGCCTCTCTTTTTCTGAACCCTCTTTAATGAATCTCCTCGAAAGCCCTTCCAGGAGCCAGGCATGGCTGGGTCCCCCTCTGCCAGGCTGCTCTGTGGGAAGAGAAGGTGGAAGACCTCATGACGCCATGATGGGGAGACGGCTGAGTGCCCACCCATGATCATGAACAGAACAAGAGAATCAAATGCCAAACCTGAGGGAAGAGCAGGAGCAAGGGGCACCAGCCCTGATGTGCAGCTTCTTCCAGCTTGCAGCCTCCAGGCCCTGGAGTGCAGTGCTGGGAAGTGTCTGGCCTTGAGGAGAGGATCCCTCTGCGCTAAGGAGAGCCCCTCCAGGCACACTCGTGCCCGCCCTCTGCTGATGCTGCCGCCTTGCTCTCTCAAGCAGGCAGTGCCTGGTGCTCTGTGTGTCATGGCGTGTGATTCACTGAGCAGACAGCACTTTACAGAAGAGAATCTTTATTTTGTGATACGTGTGTCCAGTGGGATTGACACTTAAAGAACATCTCATTTAGAAATCTTCCCTTTGTTACCCTTGTTATCTCTTTTACATCATAATAGATCTAAAACCCTTTTTGCCTTATATATGCTAAGAAGCGTGACATTCACTCTGTGTCCGTCCGTAAGACAGACTTGTGACTTTAAAACGGGACAGATCTGAGGCTTTTGCATAATAGATTTCATGGGAATTAATGGATGTTAAATGGCAATTAGAGCATAATTCCTATGCTTTTGAGCTTGTTTTATGACAAGTCCTTATTTCATAAGCCTGCCCCATACATTTCTTTTTGGTCAACACTGAAAAAGAAGAGTTTTTGAGATCTAAGTGGAAGGAAAGGAAGTGAGTAATTACTTAAAAAATATTCCTTTGTAGACAAATCTCTCCAGTGGTGCTGACTTCACACTGAAGGAGCAGCCACGTGCCGTCTTGGTCGGGCGTGTGTGCTGCAGGTGCTCCTCGGCGCTGGCCCGCCACGCAGTTCTGCTTGGGGAAGGTTCTGTGGAGTCACTGCTGAGGGCCAAGAGGCAAGTGAGCTGGCTCTAGGACGAGGACCAGGTGTGAGCAGCAAACTTCCAGGGTCTCCAGCCACATACCTGCCCGTCTGTCGCCTTAACTGGACTGAACAGACAGGATCCTTTTAGGGGCCCTTGGCCCCACTGTTGGTCCATTCTGTCATCAGGGATTATCTCCTATACCAGTTTCATAAAACAAACAAAACCAAAATCACTACCATCAAATGGCCTTTATCCCTTCGAAAAGTCTGCTTAAAATTCTGTTTTTAAAACCCATTTCCATAGTACCAGGCAAATAAAGAATCAACTCCAGTAAAGTAGGCAAGGAGGGCCTATACCAGGGTGAGCAGGCCACATGCTGTCTGTCCAGGTGACTTTCATCCAGCTGGCAGAGAGTGGTGAGGTGCCTGGGGGTCCTGGCCTCACTCTCTCTCAGCCTTAGGCACCTTGTCCGTCATCCTGTTAAAAGAAGTAAGCAAACACAAGGTAATTTCTTTGCCTTTCAGAGTAGAAACCTGTGGCTTGTTTTGAGGTTGAAAGGTCTCTAAGCTCTGGGAGCGGGCACATTGGAGTCACTAGTCCTGGTCTGTGGAGCTGCCCTGCCATGGCCTTTCTTTGGGCGGACAGGCACTGTCCAGCCAGCACTGTTTGGCTCCTGAAAACAGGTCAGCCTGTCCTCTCTCCCAGGCCACATCCAGCCTGTGCCTGTGTTCACTGTGCCCCAAAGTGCAATTACCCACACCCCTTCACATTCTGGGGACACCAGGCAGCCACAGATTGTCCACTCAGGGGAGCTGAATCCCAGCTCAGCCCTGCCACTGCCTCTTAGGAACTCCGCCCAGGCAAGGCCCCTGGTTTTGTACGCTTGTCTCTGCCACCCTCCAACAGTGGATGAGGGGTTGAAGTGAAGACTGGGATAGATTTTTAAGTGTGAATTCTCCCTCAGCCATGGAACCCCTTCTGCTGAATTTGAAAAGCACTGAGACTTCCTGTAGAGAGGAAAGTGTGCTGAGGTAGGGATAGCCCCTGGGCAGCCCACCCAGTGTGGCTGGCACCCCCTTACGGCAGGGGTGCCTTTGGTGTCACTCCCATGCCCAACCAGATTCTCATGTGAAGCCGTCTCCCTTTTCAGGAAGGCCTAACACCATCTCATCATCTCTGGCCACTCTGTGGACAGTCCACCCACATCCTTCTTTCCCTTCCTGGCGGGGCACACAGCTACCCCCTTGACTTGACTTTTCTTGCAGGTTCTATCTAGTTCAGCACCTCTGATCCATCCAGCCCTCCAGTGACTCACTAGTAGTGAAGTGGGAAGCCTGGAAGGGGGTGCTCTGCTGCCATCTAGTGGGGACACAGTATCTGCCAGTATTCCTTTTGTCTGGGTGACTTGCCAAGTTCCTTTGGGGGGCTATTTATTCCCCAGCCCTCCCCCCTTATTTTGCATTTTGGTTTAGTAGTAGGATGGCATTTAGCCGAATCATATAGAATCCCAGAATGAGGTTTCAGGGCCAGGAGGTGTGATATTTGCAGGCCAGGGAAGGGGAAGAGGTAAGCAGTCTCCGGTGTGTCACTAGCCAGCCCTCTCTCTGATTTGGTCTTTTCTCCCATAAGTACCACTTTCAGGTTTCTGACTTCAGCAGTAAATGGATTTTTGTGTTCAAGTCTATTGTGAGACTTTCTTGGAAACCCTATAAAAGATCTTTTTCTACTCTAGGCCTCTAATGTCTCTGTTTTTTGCTTCAATCCCTCTTTTCAGTCATATATGCCTAGTTTCTGCCTGTTCATGTGCCCTACCTGGCCACAGGTGTGCAGGCCCCCAGCAGCTGGGCCAGTTTGGGAACCTCTGGTGATGCCTGCAGGGCTCGAGGAGGGCTGGGGCCAGCAGGGAGAGCTTCACATTGCTGTGGACATGGCTGGTTGCAAATACATTTGAAATACTTTCCCTTTTGAATCTGGTTTGAAATGTGCAGCTTCCATCTCTAGCCCAAGGAAAGACCAAAACGTAGGGAAATAAAAGCATTTATCTTTGTTTTGGAAGTCATTGTTCAAGCTGTGCACCTGATCAGGCACATTTAGATGCAATGTTTATAGAAAGTTGATTGTTAATAAAAACCAAATTTACACTGGCATGTGTGGTGTAGTTTCTAAAAGGCACTTCACATTTGAAATTTTTCTTATCTTAGAAAGTTTCTAGTTATCTGAATGTCTGGTTTTGTATTCTTTTGTGTATGTTCACTGTTTCCCAGTATTACCACTTGAATAATTCTCTGTACAGGGGGCTTGTTTGTGCTATACACTAGGGTGTCTAATTGCAGCAATAAAGCCTTTCTTTACAAAGGAGTTTTGCCATGAGACTATTTCCTGCTAGGAGGCTGGGGATGTTGGCAGGCACTCCAGTGGCCCTGATCACCTTTCCAGGTTTGTCTGGCTTGTCGGGAAAGAATATCAGGCGGCCTCTGGAGGTGTCTCTTTCTCAGCCTGTCCCTCAGACACTGGCACGTGGTTGGTGGCCGGAGTGTCTGGGGAGTGTGTGATGGGAATGAAAACTGAGGCATTTCATGCAGCTGTGCTTGCTTCAGACTTCCAGGCTCAGCTGCTTGGGCTCACCACCCTAGGGAAGCTGGACTTGGTGTGTGGCAAATGTCCATGGGAGCAGTTGATTGTGAACCAGCCTTGTCTGTGGAAACCTGTTTCCTGCCCCACGGTCCTGCTGAGTAAGAGAACCAGGGAGACCAGCAGCGTTGCTGGTGCCATCTCTGCCAGGCTGCATCTCCCAGCTTTCTGGCAGGGCTTCCCTGAGGGATGGCAGGGCCACTGATCCTCAGGCTGCAAACAGCCCATAGGGCTGGGAGTGCCGGCATCCCCACCAAGGGTAAGGGTTGCGGGAGGAGGGCCAGGCTTACCCAGACATGCGGCAGTCTCATAAGGTGGGCCTGGAGAATTCTGCCACACTGGGCTGTGGCAGACATGGGAGCTAAAGCACAAGGGTGCTTTGTGGAGCCATGGCCACAGCTGAGTGTCAGAGAACAGGAGGCTGTGGCTCCAAGTAGAGGATGGGCCCACAGAGCCACTGAACCTGCTTGGGGACAACCCCAGGGCTCAGTGCTGAGGGGATGGAGCTGGAAGAAGAACCTGCTCCTATATGAAGGTAAGGGCTGGGGCTCCTAGAGGAGCCACTGTTTTTCGGGAATGTTAGGAGTTTGGCTGAAGAGACACTAGGTAGGGTCATGGTACAGACAGGTCAAGCCTTCCTTATCCTTTGATCTCAGCCACAGTGATGGGGTATAGGGTTGCCGCACCCCCAGGGGATGTCTGGGTAGCAAACTACTGCTCGAAAGCAGCCTCCACTTTTTGTAAATAAACTTCGATGTGCAGTCATGCTCATTCACTTACGTATTGTCTACAGCTGACTTTCTCCTGCAGTGGCCAAGGTGGATAGTTGGGACAGATTGTATGGCCTGCAAAGCCTAAAATATTTACAGTGTGGCCCTTTACAGAAAAGTTTGCCAACTCTTGGTCCCCTGGAGTTGTTGGTGCACAGCCCTTGTGACGTCTTGGTGACAGATGTTGAGCCCTCTCCAGGGCCTTGGAAGTGTCAGCCTCCGTGATGTCGGGGCTGGAAAGAGCTGAGAGGGTGGCTCCTCACTGCTTGTGGTTTCAGGCTGGGGGGCGACGGATGATCCCCATGGCTCCCATGAAGCTCCCAGATAACCAGGGAATGCCGCTGGCCTCTCTCTGGAAAAGAGGGACTGTCTGGTTAACACATTAACTGCCATGTGAGTTGTATTTAACTCACACTAGTTTTGAGCCTGGGGTCTCATGAAGCATTATGTAACTCATGTCTCTTCACCTTGGGAGCCGTGAGAACTATTTTTCAAGTTGCATATAACTCAGGCACAGAAGACAATAAAAAATAATTTTTTTATTAAATTAGGATCATTTTTGAAGCTTTTATTCTATTTTCATAATAAAACACCATAGTCCCAAGGAAAAAATATTTTTTTCTAGTGTGGCAGTGAATATGTTAAGCATTAAAAAGAGATTCAATGAGGTAAAACCGGTATAGCGGAGGGTAAGGGTGTGCAACAGTCAAAGCTGTTAGCATGGTAATAACAGAAGAGGATGAAAACCAAACCTGGCCCCTCGGCAGGAGCAGGGCTGGGACCCTGGGTGGTGTGGGGACGACAGGGAAGGGAAGGCCAGGGCTGGGGCTCTGTTACAAGGTCCTGCTCACGAAAGCCGTAGTTATGCAGTCCATGTATGTAAAAATTATTACACCCATGTATGTAAAAATATATAAAGCATTATGTATATATGAAAATACATAAAATGCATTTGCTTACAGCAGTCATCTGTCACTTTGCAGCTTTTTTTCATGTAACAACCAATTTAATATTTTCTGTGTCAGAACATAGGCATATACCTTTCTAACTAATGCATGATTTATTTAAATCCTTATTGATACAGATTTTTAGGTTCATTACTAATTTTGATATTAGAAATGAGGCTGCAATTCACATCTGTGACATTTACCTTTGTATACTTGGTCTGTGAGTGGAAGGGAGGGCAGTTCTGAAGATAAAGTTCTAGAAGTAGAAAAAAGTGGTAGATGCATTTAACTTCTAAGTTGTAAAACTGACCTTCAAAATGATTCACTTACCTTCCTACCCTGAGAATATGCATCTCTTTCTTTACATTCATATAACGTGTTACCGTTTAAAACTTGTTCCTCAAACGACTGTCATTTCTTTGTATCTCATTGAGGTTTTACTTTGTGTTTCTCAGGTAAGCGAGATGGAACATCCTTTGCCCATTTCTGCTCCTGTGAATGTTTGTATCTTGGCCATTTCTCTTGGATTTTTCTTTGTAGTTTTACATGAAATTATAGGTGTGTTTTATGATGTAAGGATATTAACTGTCTGTTCTTATGTAAGTGACATATATATGCAATTCATACGTTTATTTTTTAAAAAGATTTATTTTTTTAAAGCAGTTTTAGGTTTGAAGCAAAATTGGGAGGAAGGTACAGAGACTTTCCATGTGCTTCTGGCCCCCACGCACCCACAGCCTCTCCATTGTCGACACCCCCACCAGAGTGGTATACTTGGCATGATCCATGAACCTACATTGACACACAATCATCATTCTAAGTCCATGATTTAGGATTCACTCTTGGTGTTGTGTATTCTGTTGGTTTGGGCAAATGTACTGTGTCTTCATCCACCATTGCAGTATCACACAGAGTACTTTCACTGCCCTGAAGGCACATTTAGGATGCAATGTTTATAGAAAGTTGTATGTTAATAAAAACCAATTACACTGGCATGTGTGTGTAGTTTCTAAAGGCACTTCACATTTGAAATTTTTCTTATCTTAGAAAGTTTCTAGTTATCTGAATGTCTGGTTTGTATTCTTTGTGTATGGTTCACTGTTTCCAGTATACCACTTGATAATTCTCTGTACAGGGCTTGTTTGTGCTATACACTAGGGTGTCTAATTGCACAATAAAGCTTTCTTTACAAAGGAGTTTTGCCATGAGACTATTTCCTGCTAGGAGACTGGGGATGTGGCAGGGACTCCAGTGGCCCTGATCACCTTTCCAGGTTTGTCTGGCTTGTCGGGAAGAAATCAGGCGGCCTCTGGAGGTGTCTCTTTCCAGCCTGTCCCTCAGACACTGGCACGTGGTTGGTGGCGGAGTGTCTGGGAGTGTGTGGATGGGAATGAAAACTGAGGCATTTCATGCAGCTGTGCTTGCTTCAGACTTCCAGGCTCAGCTGCTTGGCTCACCACCCTAGGGAAGATGGACTTGGTGTGTGGCAAATGTCCATGGGAGCAGTTGATTGTGAACCAGCCTTGTCTGTGGAAACCTGTTTCCTGCCCACGGTCCTGCTGAGTAAGAGAACCAGGGAGACCAGCAGCGTTGCTGGTGCCATCTCTGCCAGGCTGCATCTCCAGCTTCTGGCAGGGCTTCCCTGAGGATGGCAGGGCCACTGATCCTCAGGCTGCAAACAGCCATAGGGCTGGAGTGCGGCATCCCACCAAGGGTAAGGGTTGCGGGAGAGAGGCCAGGCTTACCCAGACATGCGGCAGTCTCATAAGGTGGGCTGGAGAATTCTGCCACACTGGCTGTGGCAGCATGGGAGCTAAAGCACAAGGGGTGCTTGTGGAGCCATGGCCACAGCTGAGTGTCAGAGAACAGGAGGCTGTGGCTCCAAGTAGAGGATGGGCCCACAGAGCCACTGAACCTGCTTGGGACAACCCCAGGGCTCAGTGCTGAGGGATGGAGCTGGAAGAAGAACCTGCTCCTATATGAAGAGTAAGGGCTGGGCTCCTAGAGGAGCCACTGTTTTCGGAATGTTAGGAGTTGGCTGAAGAGACACTAGGTAGGTCATGGTACAGACAGGTCAAGCCTTCCTTATCCTTTGATCTCAGCCACAGTGATGGGTATAGGTTGCCGCACCCCCAGGAGATGTCTGGGTAGCAAACTACTGCTCGAAGCAGCCTCCACTTTTGTAAATAAACTTCGATGTGCAGTCATGCTCATCACTTACGTATTGTCTACAGTGACTTTCTCTGCAGTGGCCAAAGTGGATAGTTGGGACAGATTGTATGGCCTGCAAAGCCTAAAATATTTACAGTGTGGCCTTTACAGAAAAGTTTGCCAACTCTTGGTCCCTGGAGTTGTTGGTGCACCGCCCTTGTGACGTCTTGGTGACAGATGTTGAGCCTCTCCAGGCCTTGGAAGTGTCAGCCTCCGTGATGTCGGGCTGGAAGAAGCTGAGAGGGTGGTCCTCACTGCTTGTGGTTTCAGGCTGGGGGGCGACGGATGATCCCAGGGCTCCCATGAAGCTCCCAGATAACCAGGGAATGCCGCTGGCCTTCTCTTGGAAAAGAGGGACTGTCTGGTTAACACATTAACTGCCATGTGAGTTGTATTTAACTCACACTAGTTTTGAGCCTGGGTCTCATGAAGCATTATGTAACTCGTGTCTCTTCACTTGGGAGCTGTGAGAACTATTTTCAAGTTGCATATAACTCAGGCACAGAAGACAAAAAAAATAATTTTTTTATTAATTAGGATCATTTTTGAAGCTTTATTCTATTTTCATAATAACAACCATAGTCCCAAGGAAAAATATTTTTTCTAGTGTGGCAGTGAATATGTAAGCATTAAAAGAGATTCAATGAGGTAAAACCGGTATAGCGGAGGTAAGGGTGTGCAACAGTCAAAGCTGTTAGCATGGTAATAACAGAAGAGGATGAAAACAACCTGGCCCTCGGCAGGAGCAGGCTGGGACCTGGTGGTGTGGGACGACAGGGAAGGGAAGGCAGGGCTGGGG